TAGTTTAAAGGAGGTCTGGGGAAAACATTGCCATCACAGATAAAAGACATTTACGTTAATAATCAGGATATATAAAGAGAAGAGGGGAAATAGTGGGGGAAAGTATTTAAGTAGGCAAACACAACCCAATCTCACTTCTAAATAACAGCAACTAAATAAAACCAACAAGAAGATATCATTTTGCAGCATAGGATGGTTTTATTTTAAAAATAAAAAAAAAAAATCAGGTGTTGGGGAACAGCCCTGGACACGTGGGTCCGTGATCTCAGGTCCAGGCACTCCAGAAGTAGTTTATATAAATGACACCTCCTCCAGCACTATTCCAACGAAGACAGTGATGTCAGAGTTGGGAACACAGTGCCCTCCCCCCACCCCTACCCCCATGGTTTAGTGAGAGTTGGGGGCAGTGTTTGCCTTATGGACAAAAAATAAAAGCTCTCTCATTCTGTGATTGCCCTGCCAGGAATCTAGCCTTTCCAGAATACATGAAAGTGGGGACTGGGAATGTGGTTCAGTGGTTGAGCACTTGCCTAGCACATGGAGGCCCAGGGTTCAATCCCCAGCACAGGGTGGGGGGGGGGGAAAGAAAGAAAGAAAGAAAAAGAAGGAAGGAAGGAAGAGGGGGAGAAAGGGAGGGAGAAATAAAGAAAAGAAACATGGTATTTACAGCTGCCCTCCCTCTCTAACGCCTCTAGTGCGCTGAACTCCAGTAGAAGGGAGCAAGACAGTCTTAAAACGAGTCCTCCAACAAAGCCCACTACCTCCCAAACCACAAGTGGTAAAACCCCCAAGAAGCACTTGGCTACAAAAATCGCTTGTAACGAGTGCCCTCTAGTGTAGAGACGAAGAAAACTCAGAGTTACAGGCCCAGTGTTGTGGTGCTCTGACATCTAGTTTGTCCACTAAATTTCAGATTTATTAACTCTTCTTCCAGCGTCTGGTGTGACAAACTGCTCCGATTTAAAAACAGATTTGTGCTTCCAGAGAGCAGCTATTCCGCTTGGTGGGAGGCAAATGAAGACTCTCTGGTTGGCTTTTTAGAAGACACAAATAAGATCTGTGCTATCCATGCCAAACGTGCAGCAGTTATGCCAAATGACCTCCAAATAGCACTCTGACACATTGAGAACTTATGTAAGAACCTACTATGGGGTGGGATGTATGAGTAGCTGTGTGAAAGCCTCCCATGCATGAGGCCCTGGGTTTGACTCACAGCATCTCAAAACAACAAACCAAACCACTATTTTTAGGTCTGATGTTAAACATCCCCTCTGTCCCCAAGGTGTCAAAATGTGCCTCAGTGGATAATTATAAGTAGAAAACTAAGGGAGAGGAATCAGGTATTGGCAGCTTTTCCGTTTTTATGTGTGTGTGAATTTTTTATATAAATGTTAAGTATGCAAAGCAGTAATGCAGATCAAAATGTTTTAGAGAACAATTTCTGGCAATTCAACTGTATAATGATTATAAAGAAATGCTTTTTTTTTTACCATGACCATGCCAACATTTAGATTTTTTAAAAACTAAGTTAACTTCTTATTGACAGCCACTAAATTTTGATCAATCAGTGGATTTCACTCACTATGCCTTTCTGAGTTGTCCTACATGCTAGTGTTTTTAATATTATCTATCTTCTGTGCTGTTCCTATAAATTTGCTATTAAAATACAGGAGGCCAGGCATGGTGGCACATGCTGGTAATCCCAGTTATTTCTGAGGTTGGGGCAAGGGGATTGGAAGTTCAGGGATTCTGAAAGTTAGACCCTGTCTCAAAATAAAAACTTAAAAAGGTCTGGGGATATAGTTTAATGGTGGAATGTCTCTGGGTTTAATCCCCAGTACCTAAATGAACTGTTAAAAAGATATACGCACAAGTATGTTCATGAAGCATGTTTTATATTAGGGAAAAAAAAAGAAACACCGCATGTGTACATCAACAGGGTATTGTCTGCATAAATAATGGTATATTCATCCATGGGATCTTTTGTAGCTCCTATGTAGAATGAAGTAGATTTATTTGTACACATTTTTATAAATTTTTTCCAAATTTTTTTTCCCAAGATTGATGCTAGGACTGATGTAAACATGAATGTAAAAGCAAAATATTTGTTATTTGATAACATGTTTATATTTTTTCTCCATATATAATAGAAAGGAAATATGTAGAAAAAATAGGGGAGTCCACGACACTACGGAAACTGAACTGGAATTATTGGGCAGAGGAAATTAGTGACAGGGAGGAGTGTGAAGTTTTGCATTGTATACTTCATTACTTTATGCTCTACCATATCAAGAAATCAAAGTGTGTGTATGTGTGTGTGTGTGTCTAATCTTAATTTCAAAATATTAGGCAACCAACACCTGGCTCTGAGCTAAAAGAATCTTTGTGGATTTAAGTATTCTTTGATAATTTCCCACCCAGCTAAGCTACTGTGGAATATCCAACCAAGTGTGAGAAATTCTTGGCATTCTTAAAATAAACCCACCCTTCTAGGCCAGCTCATCTGGGCATCATAATCCCCATGTAGGCTTTTAAAAAATCAGATCCTAGTCTCAATGACAGATCTGAGGACTCAGAATGTCTGTGCCTGAAGCTGTTGTCTTACTGTTCAGGAGGAAATGGGATGTGAGGATTAATTGTTAGGTAATTATGTGGGACAATTGCACCACCACTACAAGGAACAGAGAAGGCGGAGAGACAGACCTGGCCTGCAGAGGCTCCTCCAAATAAACTGGATGGGGACTCCTGATGGATAAAGTCATTCTCCCAGGCTTGGCAATGAAAGTGTTCCAAGTGCAGCAAGCAGGGTCCTCCGGTACTCAGGGCTCTCAGAAATGTCAGGGCTGTACCTTTAATTTGTTTTTTCACTAAAACTATTATTTTTTTGCGCTTGTCTCAGTTTCTGTGTTCTAAACTGGAGGAAGGTAGGGGATGATTAGATGATCACCGAAAAACTCACCCAGCTCTTGAAATGAAGAAACCCACCCAGTTTGCTTAGCACAGACAACAGGATGTGGTGTGTTATTATCCAAGAACCAGGCTGTGCAGAGGCAGACAAACAAAATTCTAGTCCTGACCCCTCTTTGTGCCAGTTGTGTGACTTATCTGCAAGTTATCTGCAAGGTTCTTGACCTCTTTGAACCTCGATTTCTTGATCTGCATAATGGATAATGACGTGATCTATGTGAGATTGCAGTAAGGATCGGAGATGGCGAACAGTAGAAGTCAACCAACCAAAGCTCAGCAGCTGTTTATTAGTTCCACAACAATTACTAGAGCATGAGCTCCTTAAAGGTTAGACACAATGTGTGAATATGTGATTTCCCTTTCCTCTTTCCCTACAGTCTACCTAACACTAGTAGAGAGCCACTACCAGGGATTGAACCCAGGTTCTTGCACATGCTGGGCAAGCATACCAGCACTGAGCTGTGCCTTCAGCCTCCAAAAATTCTTGTTTACAGATCTGTAATTCTGTCTGCTACAGGTTGTAGTGGCTCCCATCCCTCCCGGAGTGCAAGAGTTCAGTTCAATTATTTTTGCACCTGCAAGCCGCTTTTCCTAATTTAAGTCCATTCTTAGGACTGCTTGTAACATCTACTTGTTCCCTCATTAACAAGGAGCTAAATAAAATCTTTGGCACATGCTCATTTTCAATCTGCATGACAGCCATGAATTTATTGTCTTTTGAAAGGTGTCTTTTAATATTGCTGCTACTTCTTTACCAAAGCAGTGAGTTTCTGTGGAGGGCAGATACCTTGCCTGAATCTCCCTCTCAGGGTCAGATGGAGTCAGACAGCATTAGCGTTAATATCTTGTCCTTGGGTAGATAGAAAAGCTCCCTAGGAGTCCGGCTTCAGGTCCTGTGCCAACAACTTGCGGTGACACAGAGGAAAGCACTTCTCTCAGAGAGTCAGTCTGCCTGTTTGTGAAATGGGCTCTTAACAAACCTCTAGACTCCGGAGGCAGCCTCCTAGGGCTACATGTCCTCCCCTAATCCCCTCCTCCTGAACACTCTTCCTGGGGTGGCGTCCCGGCTGGAACTCGAGCGATTTGGCCTTTGGGGTCTCTGAGATCCGCGGGGTGCCGCGGGGCCTCTGGAGGGGAAGTGTGTTTTGGAGCCAGAAAGCCGGAGCCGCCCAGGAATTTTGGCTCAGACTTGGAGCA